CCAAAATTTGATGCGTGTCGCAAGACACCAAAAATAAACTCTATTCCCGGCAATCAACAATAATGTAGATAGGGGAATAGGGATTGAACCCATGAGACTATTATGATTAATAAATACTGAATAACAAAAGTAAAGGGGATTATTTGCTGAAAATTCAAAATTAAACAAAAATAAATCAAAATAAAATTATAAATCAATAATTAGAAACTCCAGCCTAAGGGTAATTCTTTCGTCCAAATGGGTGATTGATCATCGACAACAAAAGATAATACCATCAAACATTAATTAAGCAATCAAATTATACTCACAAGCGGAAATATAACCTATTTCTTCCCTAAGTAATTAATTCAGGTGAAGCACTCAAATTAATCCTTGTTGTCTAATGATTCGGTATACAAGCGATCCTCTATTAAATAACAAGCATTAGGTTCTAGGAAGAGATTACTATGAACAACGATTTAACATAAGCGGCAACCATTTAATCCATACTATGTTCTTAAGGATTAATAACAAAAGCTGGGATCACAATCATTAAAAATACATATGCTACTATGAACAATATGATAACGATTACGGATTACCACATTAATTCTAGCAATAGATTCCAATTAATATTTATTCAATGGGCACTTATCAAACAAATACCAATTGCAATTATAAATCAATAACAAACATAAGAACAATAGATAATTAATGAATTGATAGATGAAAGGTAGAAATAGGTCTCACAATCACATAGATTTGGATTAAATTCTCTTAAGCCGAATCAAAGACTTTAGCCACTCATGGCTTTTAAGAGCACGGATTTATTTCAAAGAAAAGAGTAAGATCTGTTGTCAAAAAAACTCTTTTATGGTTCTTCAAAACAAATTAATTTTCCTCTCGCCAAAAAGAGCTAGCAGAAAACGTGTTCTCTCCTTTTTAATCTGAAAATATCCTCTCAAAAATCGGATGAGGATAGAGTTCTAATATAATCATAACTCTTTCTAAGTTATCTCCCGAAAATCGAATCCCGATTTTCCGTTCGTCTTTTCCGCTAATTTCGGACCAAATACATTCCGAATTAGAGATTTCTTTCTTCATAAGAGTTTTATTCCTATCCGTTATCTTTCCAATGCTTTTTTTTTGCATCAATGAAAGGTCTAAAACTCGATTCGCATGCCAAACACTGAAACTCGTGCAAATTAGTCCAACTAGAATTAGGAAACGACTTGTTAGCTACTTTTCAACCTTAAACCCACCTACTTTGGACTTAGGCCCTTCATCAAAGTTGTGAATATGGGTCTTAAATATTTATTAGGATTGGATTTGCATCAATTTTCCATCTATAACTCCAATTATAAATTAATGACCGAAACCGGTTCCGAGCCCAATGGGATTCCACATCGACTTCTCTAATCGGATTTTGAGATATTATTTAGAGATCCAAAAGAACTTGGATTTTGACCCAATATATCATTCTGGAAAGCTTGAGATGTCCTCTATAAAATTTATGAAGGACACTTCTTTCAATTCAAATTCTCAATCTACTAAAAACTTGCAAGAAAGACAGAAAGTCTAAGTGAAAACGTGCTCGGAATTCTTAACTTTTAACATAATTACTCCTAATCCCGAATTTATGTCTTATAAATAAATATGAACATTAATTAACCTATTAAGACATAAAACATAGCAATTCAACTAAATTTAAGAAGAATAAAAATATAATATAATGTGTATCACTTTCCACTCATGTAGACAAAATTGCCTATACCTTCTTAATGTTTGAACAACTTCCTGTTTATGTGAACTAAAGTTATCAATGGATTCTAATTATTTAAATGACTTTTTGCTTGTGTGAATTAAAAATGTCGATGGCTTTTCACTTATAAGGATAAAGCTACCGGTGGTTTTGAAATATTTGAATGACTTCACGTCGTACAAATGAAGCTATAGATGGTTTCAAAACATTTGAATGACTTCTAATTTATATAAATTAAAGATTTCAATGGCTTTTCATTTATATGGATAAAATTATCGATGGTTTTATAAATTCATAAATTGAAGTTTTTAGTGATTTTCCATTTATATGGACAAAGTTATCGGTGGCTCTTTATTCGTGTCAATATAGGCTATCAATCCCTAGAGCCTTGCCTATTTTTCATTACAGATTTGTAGTCATTAGAAGTGAGCCAAAATTTTAATTTTCATCCCTATTTCCTTCAAAGTATGTGTATAGGCTTTTAACCGACCTAAACTCTAAATTACTTGACCAATTTATCTAAACAAAATAAACTCACTCAAATAGGCATAAAACCATAATATAGTAGGATCAGCTTTTAGTTTTCACATGCATACAATACGATCTATCTCATATAGAACGGGATAGTGATAATGTTAATCTTTTCCACATATAACCGACCTCTTACCAAAATATTTATGTAGACCAATGTTCTTTATAGTTTCCTAGTTTATCCGATTTCTAGATAATGACTTCGCCCGTGCCCTAGGCCCCTATGAAAACTTTTAGTGGTCCCCCTACCATAACTTACCTTAGCAGATGCCATGAAGCCTTGAAGTGGTCCAGGTGACCTATCAAAAATATAATTAATTAATTAATTCCACCCAATAATAATTAAACCATATTGAAATTTTGTATAACTTATTCTGTTTTTAGATGGAACTTAGTTAGTTGTATGTTCTTTTCCCTTCCTTTTTTCTACTCAACTTGTTAAGGTATGCATGTAGCTATACTCGTATTAAGTTTCATCCAATATTGATGATCTGCGTTAGTGGATGTGATGTATCCCCATTTGATTATCCTATTGTCCTTGATGTCTTTATAGCCTTCTTAGTTTTCTTTTGTTTTCGCTTGGCATTTACATTGATAACTCTTGGTAAGGGGCATCTCCTCACATTATTCCTTTTTTTATTTACAATTGCTACATGTGATTATCACTCCTTCTCTACTAATCTTGTATGGATTTGGAGGCTGGAGTTCAAACCGTTCTCTTTTTCTTACCATCTTTAGCCTCGCTCGTTTGTTTATCAATGATAGGTGATTGCATACGATCATAAAAGGTAAGAGGCTAATCATCTATTCTTGTAATGCATTCTATTTACACTTTATAGGCTTTGAGGAATGTTTTATTTTTGAACCAATCATGCACATAATCCTCATGTTACAATTCTTTCTTCCAAATTGCAACAATTGCATGATAGTAAGATATGTCAAGCATCCGCCATTTCCTCCACATGCAAGTTTTGCTCTCAAGGACATAGATTGTTGCATTATCTTCATAGTGAGTGACCTTAAAACTTCCATTTGCACTAGGGATCACAATGCGGCTTGTTGCATACTACTTCGGTTTCTCAAGTTTCTTCAAGATCCTTGGGCAAATCTATCATTTATAGGTAAGAATAACCTCCATTTTTTCATCAAGCCTCCTCATTAGCATTCTCCCTAAACTTTCACGTATGGTGATAATTGACTTATCTCTAACTTTATGTATACGGGAGTTGAAAGTTTCGCCATATTATTGAGCAATAAGTCACACTTTGGGTCTTCATTGAATGCATGCCTACACCATGTCTTAACATATATCTTCATCGACCACTCATATGCTACAACATCTAACTCTTTAATTTATTTCATGTGATGCTCAAATTTTCTAACGGTATAAGCTCTATCAACATTTCACAAAAGATCTTGCTAGACCCATGATATTGCTTAAACTTAGTGTAGAGGTGTCTAACACAAAACCTATGGTTCATCCTTATTAACTCATTCTCAAAGATCTTAGTTAACCTCTACAAAAAAAAAAAATAATAATATAGATATTAGTTTTAAAAAAAGAAACAAATCATTTATTATCAAAAAATAAATGAAAACATAAAATAACCTTTATTCAATCATAAAAGAATAATCAATCATTCTCTTCTACTGATCCAATATCATCTAATAACAATTCAAGAAACCACTACCAACTCTTTCTTGTTTCAAACATAACAAATGTTTTCATTAGCATCTTTCTCTATAGCTACCAAGCAATGCTCCAGAAAAACTCCCTTCGGATGACGATCATCATTCTCAAATATTAGGCTAAACTAGCCTTAAAACCTTTTTACAAGCATTAAAACATATATAAAATCTCTTAAACATCTTATACAAGCATCTATCTTCACTATGCTTCCAAGATTAAACTTTACGATTACTTCGAGCATAATGCCATAGCAAACCATATTATTCATTGACTTTTCCTTTAATAATCTGTCTTCCAACCCTCAATGCCTTACGACGATAAATCAACGGTGATATTATATTCATGTTCTCTCGGAGATCATGTTCATCAAAATAGTAGGCTTCATGTATGTTGCATCCCTAATATCATAAATTTATTGCTTTGCTATCCATTCGATAGTCACATTTTTTTTTTGAAGTTGTTAATACATTTGTGTTTGTCAAAAAAATGTTTAATCTTTCATGATTTTCCATCAACTCGTAGGTGATAAATGGATTTTCCAACCACAATTTCTTATGTATCTAACGGTGACTCTTTCCATGTCATTCTTTAGATATTTGAAGTAATACCCAATCTGAACCGAGTATGATTTCAATGCCATCCTAAAGACCTTATAACTATTAAATATCATTCTTGCTTTCAATTCAATCTTACCTCTAAAATCATTGTTCTCATTGAATTCCGGATATCTTTTCTTCGTTTCTTGCCTTTAAAAACATTTAGTCTTTCATGATTGGCCATCAACCGCAGGTGATGAATGGATTTTCCAACCACAATTCTTATGCTTCGAAAGTGATTCTATCCTTGTCATTCTTCGGATATTTGAAATCATATCCAATCTAAACCGAGTATGATTTCAATGCCATCCTAAACACCTTATAACTACTAAATATCATTCTAGCTTTCAATTCAATCTTGCTTCTAAAATCATTGTTCTCATTAAATTCTAGATATCTTTTCTTCTTTTTCTTTCTCTTACCATCTTCCTCACCGGATGAATCAACTATGCGGTTCATCACTATCTCTATAGTGAGAATTTAAATTGTTTTCTTCCATACCATAACCTTTAAAAATGTTTACGCCATGCAACTTTTCCCTCTCCTTTGCACACCATTCTCTCACCGATGCATATGCATTAACAGATTGTGCTTTTCCTCTCTCACCTAAATTCTCAAAGATGTCTTTATTTTCATCCTCATCATCCTTAAAATCACTTAAATGTGCCTCATTATCTTCAACTGCACCAAATTCATATTCTACTCGCACCTTTAGAACTTGTAGCAGATTTATCATGATTCCCACCAAACTCAAAATCAACATCAAGCACAGGTATATCTATATTATATTCAAGATAAAAATCTAAAATTTTCTCCCCAAATTTCTCCATGTCGGCTATAAGTTTTATCAATTGGTTATCATCCTTCATAGCCGTAACTCCATTCTCCAAGACTCGATGCCCAAACTAGTATAGAAACTTAATCACATTGTCATAACCTTTATCTTTCAACACAATTTCAAACTAACAAGAGATAGGTAGTCGTGGTCTACTCGTTGGTCCATCATTTCATTCTTTATGTACCCAAGAATAGGGACATAAATCCATATACTCTCATAATAAATCCTCAAGTTAATCAACATCATGTACATGATGAAACATAAAAGATTACTATTTACAAGATACAACAAACCCTAAATATTAAAAACCCTAATCAATATTTAAATATCCTTAATGCAACACTAATCCATAATTTAATCAAAAAGAAAAAAGTTAAATACGTTGTATAAACCCCACAACCCGGATAACTCACTATAACCGACCCAAGCCCCAAATCAACCCCACAACATGATATAAAACAACATAAAACATTACTTTTTCGAAGAATCTTTCCAAATCAATAGTGACCCATACCATAAATGAACCCCACAACCCGACATAACAACAAACCAAAAATGAACTTTTTGAAATTATTTGTCAAAATCCAACACCCAAATGAACTCCACAATCAAACACACAATTAATTTTGTAATTAACCATGTCACTAATCTCATAAGTTAAACTCTTAATTTCTATCGCTAGTAGTCAATGGTGAGAGATCGACAACGAAACAACAAATTAAGAGAAATGTAAAGGAGGATGAAAGAGTTATTAGATGAAGACGAGAGAGAGTTGGATAGATTACTAGATGAAGGATGAAAATGGTTGAAGAAATTGAATGACTTTTCACATATCACAATGGTTGAGAGAGAATAGTTCGTTCATTCGTTCGTGGGTGAATGTGGGTGGGTGAATTAGTTTTGACTAAATGTGAAAATACGTTATTAATTAACCCTTTTATCCTTAATTAATCTTTAGTTACGAGTGGGTTAGAATGGGCTAGGGTTTAATCATCAAAAAAATTATACTCGTCAATATCCTCCATTAGATTAAGTCTGCCACATGTGTTTTCCATCGCCAAATACACATTCTCTCGTTATCTCTAACGGAAAAAAAAATGAGTGGACTTAATTTCAAAATTTATAAATTTCATGTATCCCAGAATCAACAAAAAAGTTTCAGCACTCAATTTCAAATAACTTATAGTTTCAGGGGACCTAGACCCTTTTAGCCCTGCAATATTGCCATCATAGATGTGGTCAAGTATTGTCCTGAAAAACAACTGCATTAGTATTGATTTTAAAACAGGAGGAGAGCTGCAAGCACTTTGGAATTTGGATATTAGGCAGACCAGGTGACGCAGAAGCTTCATTAGCAGTCTCTTTGCCTCTTGTGTGTATCAAAGTTATATATATCTTAAATCTATGAATTATTTTCTTAGTTTTTGTTTTTATTAGGATTTAGTTATGTGTCAATTCAATTTAACAAAAGAAATGCTTGTTGCCCTTTATAATGCATCTTAATTAATCTGGAAATAAAAATGTGTTCGTTATTTTTCCATATATTCCATAGCAATGCAAGAACTTGAGGCCAGTTGATCAGAACACCAGATGTAATAACATAAAGAGAATAGACTGTGGAGTATCAAAATTAAAATTAAAAAAAAAAATGACAAAACAAATAAAAGCAAGAGGAAGTACACTCCAAATTCAGCGCCTTAGAATTCTCATTCTCTGCTGCATAGTTGCATCTCCCTTCTACTTTTGCAGGGATAATGAATTGACCTAGGCTCTTAGTCACTCTGGAGTCTGACCCCAATCCATCTCACAATCTCAAATTTGTGAAGTGACGAAAAGGAGAACGCAAGAATTGAAATTCTTTTCAATTGAAGATCAAACTCAAACACTGTCAAATAATCAATAGATTGGTTGTTCCTTTACAAGAAAATTTCCAGAAAAAAAATTTGATGATTAGCCTCAAAATCAGAAGGCTTCAAAACCAATTAATGAAAAAAATGGGGGGAAATGGACAATTGGCGGTCGAGGAATGACAAAAATTAATTCCAAGACACATGTACAAAATTTCAAACGGATATAGAACAGAGATCATCAAAGATTTGTCTGATGTTAGGCCTCTCATTTACAGGAAGAATACACCTGAGCGATATGGCAAGCAAATCATCCATTGCCTTTGTCGGTTCTTCCCCACCTGCAATATCTCTGTCAATACAGTCCATTCGTCTTCCTTCTTGATCACACAACAGAACCCAATCTGTAAGATCAACTGCTCCCGATTGACCTGATATTATGTCACCAGCACTTCTTCTGGTTAACAATTCCATCAGGATAACTCCAAATGCGTAAACATCAGCCTTGAATGAAGGCGCTGGTTTAGAAGCATTATCAAGTTCTGGAGCCCGATATCCTAGTGCTCCCAGATTTAGTATCTGCTCTGCAATGCCAGCTGAGGTCATCAAACGATGAAGTCCATAATCAGTGAGGCGAGCATTGTAATCAGGGCCTTCCAGGAGTATATTTGTCGGCTTTAGATTTCCATGGAGCATGCCTCTGTCATGAAGATACAATAGACACCGAGCAACATCAACAGCAACTTTTAGTCTTTGGCTGAACGACAACAAGGAGTACCTCCGAGGAGTTGTTTCTGTGCACCACATGTTCCAGAAAAAAAAAAAAATTAAGAAAGAATAACAACAGCAACAAAAATAAAATAAAATAAAAACCAGACATCTAAATGAAATATATGAGCAAGGCCAGGTAATAATATAGCTAATTGCAACCACAACTAGTACCTGCTCTTGAATCTACCCTAGTTAGTTTCATCAAAGTAACAACTAATTAAAACTAAAAAGATATTATACTCCTCCATCCCAGATTGTTAGTCCAGTTTTCTATTTTAAACTGTCCCAAAACTCTTGTAATCAAACAATTAATTGTTCAAATTTTCTATTATGCCCCTAATTTAGGGCCCACTTCTACATTTAATTCTTTTAGTAGGAGTGACTATTTTTGAAAACTAAAAGAGCAATAAAAGGGTAATGCATCAATTGAATTTGTTAACCTTTGTAAAGTCAATGGGACAAATGAGCTGAAACGAAGTGAGCATGTATTTATCTGTTCAAAAGCATTCACGAACATGGTTATAATACTGCAGACCTACACAGCTTTGCCATAAAAAAATTCATGGATCCAATGACATTCTTGCCAGTAGAAAAACTAATGATTTAGAACAGAAATATGGACAGACTAGCATCTCCAGAAATATATTCTAAGGACACTGTCCTCTCACATTATATTTAACTGACACAGAATGGCTACCATTAAAGTTTTGGAGCTACAAACACCAAAGAAAGAACCTGGATTGCTGAAACAAATCTCAATTTTGAATGTTCAGGGAGAAGAAAATGGGGATAGGGAGCAACACCGCTCTCATTTAAGTACAATACAAAGCTCCCCAGTATATCAGGCTAATTACTTCCACAATAAACTGAAGAGCACAAAATTCCCTAGTATATCTAGACATGAAAGCAAGAAACAAGTAACATCCCAGATAATTATATCCAGATTAACATAATTTTTTTCCGACAATAAACCAGGCACAAAATTCCCTAGTATATCTAGACTTGAAAGCAAGAAACAAGTAACATCCCAGATAATTATATCCAGATTAACATAATTTTTTTCCGACAATAAACCAGGCCTGCATGCAGGACACCTGGCACCACGCAGATCCAATTTGGTGGCACCATTGTCCCCCTGAGGTTCATTGTATTAAAGAACCTTATCTTGCAATATTTGATGGTGCTTTGTCTACTTCAGGTTCGTTATAGTAGAGGACCTTATTTTCACAAACCTCAATGGTGGGACAGTGGAGCTGTTTTATTATTATTATTATTATTATTATTATTATTTATTTATTTATTTTATTGTGCCTATAGTCCTGCATACAAGCGTCTCCAAACTGGGGCTATGTATCCCCATATTCAAGACATTTTAAGGAAATATTCCTATTGTTTGTACCAGGCTCAGAATGTGAGATATGATAGATTTTAATATTCCAAGTACACACAATTAGGCAACATGTTTGAAAATGCAATTTAAGTTCAGAAAACTGGATCTGCACCACTTTTGACATGAGTATTAAAATTCCCCATAATGATCAACAAGATGACTAAGTTAAAATCAAACAATCAACATGCAGAAGTCATGTGGCATTTTTTTCAAACACCTATCAAAGCAGCAGGATAATTTAGCAAAATAAAAACATGTAAAGAGAAATACACAAAGTCAGATGTAATAAAATGTTTACCATAAAGATGTAGAGCCAAGCTATCACCCTGGATATAGTCAGCTAAAAGAAGTCTCTCTTGCTCTCTAGGCCCCCAATAATATGCTCGCAGTGGAACAATATTTGGATGTCTAATAGAGCCTATCTTTTTAACTTCCTTAGCAAATTCTTTCTTATGTTTGACTAGTCCAACCCGCAACCACTTCACAGTCAGCATATGTCCACTGTCTAGAGTAGCCTTATATAAAGTTCCGTGGCTGCTTCTGCCAAGAACTTCAGCTGGAGCTCGAGATAATTCCTCTGCAGTAAATGCAAGTGAACTATCAAGGAAGGACAGTTCCCCAGCCAACCTATCTGGTGAATAGACATCCAATTTCGTAGGTTCAACAAAACGAGGTGAGGAAGATAATGGGGAACCCGGGGAGGACTTTCTTCCAGATGTTGTGGGATGGTCATCTAGCAAATTAGGAATTGAAGATGAACTTGCCACCATTCCTTCAGGCAAATTATGCTCAACAATTTCAGCTCCAAATTCTGCCTTCCCTGATAATGACCTTGAATTTGCAGTAAGCAAGTGATCATTCGAAAAACTCAACGAAGTTGGAGGGCGGTGAGCATTCGAGTGGAATTTGAAGAGGGAAGTTCGGGAAGATCTCCCTAGCTTAGCATCCTCCCTTGTTGTTTGACCACTAAAATCACTTCTCCCATGAAATTCTTTTCGCTGTGCCCGCTGATACGCCAGTAAAACAAAAGCTATCATTGCAGCAGCCCCAACTGTAGCAACAATTACTGCTATTGTAATATTACGCTTTGAACTGTGGCGTCTACCTTGTCTGGAAATCTGATCTGGAACAGAATTTGTTGATGGCCCAACCTCGGCATTTGGGACAATTAATGAGGGATTCCCAGGACGAAATGAAGAAATATCAAATTTATTTCTTAATTTTTGTGGAATATTTCCAGAGAGATCATTATTGGAAATGTTCAGTCCAATCAGACTGGACGGAAGCTTGTCAGGGATTTTACCCTGAAATCTGTTGGCAGATAAATCAAGGTAATGCAAGTAGGTTAGTTTGCTCAATTCAATTGGCAGCTGTCCGGACAAGCCATTGCTCGAAAGATTCAGTGATTGGAGATTGGCAAAGTTGCCTATGCCAGAAGGCAATATACCAGATAATGAATTTTGAGAGAGATCAAGAGACTCCATTGAAGGATAAGAAGGTAGAACTAATAATTCACCTGCACCTGAACCTTGAATAGGTATTGGCCCCGAAAACCAATTTCCTGAAAGATTCAGGTTCGTCAAGGTCAATGAAGTAAAGAAACCACCTGGAATGGACCCATTGAATTGATTTAAGCTGAGGTCAACTGAAGACAATGTTGAAACATCCACCAATTGAGGAGGCAAATTGCCACCTAGGGAATTATTCCTAAGATTAAGTTTCCTTAACCTCGCAAACAGCGTCAAGTTTGCCAAGCTTCCAGATAACTGGTTTGAACTCAAATCAAGGTCCTCTACAGCTTCCCAATTTTGCAAGACAGACATGTCCCCAGTGATCATATTTCCACTCAAATCCACAACTGAACATCTTTGAAGAAAAGTGGGCAAAGTGCCCGTTAAATCATTTGAAGAAAGATTCAAAACATTCAAAGTTGTGGAGTGAATTCCACGAATGGAACCTGCAGAGATATAAAATGGGGAACTCAGATACACAGGATTCAGCATTTAGTTATGGGAGAAGAAAACCATCTTAAATTAAAATACATTGCAATGCCAGACATCTGGAAATATTTTTCAATTGTTTTCTGCATATTCTGTACTGAATTCTTTCATCATAAACATCCAAAATAAATATGTCAATGTTCAGTTTGCATGTAAAATGCAAAAGGCTAACTTAAGTGCATATATACTTGTCCCAGCTGATTATCATGCATCTCAACTTGATGACCCAACCCAAAACGTTTGGGATGCTAACTTAGATTCAACAGGTTACACTTCATTTACAAGAAAAGAACATTTTATCTATGCTTCTAGCGTCCAAACCAAGAAGGCCACATTTTACCTATACCTCTACTGTCCAAATCTAAAAAATTAACCACTAGCACTTTAGATACAGTCCCTGTACGTAGTTTTATCATGTGTAGAAACCCATATGTAGAAAACCCAGGTAAACCAACAAAAATATAACTTAAAAAAAAAAAAAAGGTCAAAATTCATATTAACGGCTAAATACTACGTTACAAGTAACCTCAGGTTTTAAGTACTAAAATTGGATAAAATTCATCAGAATTATCACTTCAGTTGACTAGACACCCCAGTCAATATTCTAACAAAAAGTAGAAAACCCGAAAACATATCAAATAAAAATTAAAAACCAATAATGATCACAAAAAAAAAAAGTCAAGAATCACTGAACCTGTAAATCCATTGCCACTAAGATCCAATTCTTCAATCGGCATCGACCCGTTCAGCAATTCCTCAGGTATAACTCCAAAGAGCTGATTATTTCCCAGCCTCAACACCTTCAAATTCGTCAAAGACCCAAATGAAGGCAACTCTCCATTAATCCCATTATCTCCCAAATCCAAAACCTCCAAATTCCTAAACAACCCAATTACCTCTGCTTTGAAAAAACCACTATTCAATTTATTCTTACTCAAATTCACAAAATGCACTGTATTAGCCAAACCTGACACGTTCTCTACACTCATCTCACTAAACCCACCAGAAAACTCATTATCGCTCAAATCTACTCTTTCTAAATTAATCAATTCACTTAAAACCCCACTAATATCACCCCAAAACCTATTAGAACTCAAATCCAAAACCCTCAACTGCTGCAAATTCCTAAACCCAACTGGTAACCCAACCGGAAACCCGCCTTCAAAACCATTCATTGACAAGTTCAAATGCTTCAAATTCCACAACTCCGCGATCCGACCAGGGATCGGACCTGAAAAATTGTTATTAGACAGATCCAAATACTGTAACGAGCTCATGGATCCCAATGTGGGTACAATCCGACCTGTAAACTGATTACCCGAAAGTGAAATATTCTGCAGTGACTTAAGGTCCAGTAAAGTAGAAAACTTCAAGTCACCGGCGAGATTAAGGGAGTCTAAGGTTATAGCAATGACGGAATCCGAATTGGGGTCGCAGGAGATACCGGTCCAGGAACCGGGGCAGGAACTCGGATCGGGTAAAGAAGACGGGTCCCATTTGGTGAGGATTTTGTCAAGTGGGTCGGATTGGATGCCTTTTTTGAATTCGAGTAAGGATCGGAGTTCCGACGCGGAAGTGAAGAGAGAGAGTAGAAAGAAAGTGAAAAAGAAGGTGAAAAGAGTCATTTTAAGAGAGAGAAAGAGAGAGCATGTGTTAGCAATTCGTTTGAGAGAACATTTGATTTGATTTGATTTGAGAGCTCGAAACCCTAGCTGGAATGTGAAATCACAGAGAGGCAAGGAATCTAGAGAGAGAGAAGAGATTAGGGTTTTATTGTGGTTTTTTTAATTATTTTTTTAAGAGAGAGAGGGAGAGTGAAGAAGAAGAGGTGTTGTTTTTTTTGTTAAAAATGGCGGTTTTAGGAGGTGGGGGGATCAGGTGGAGAGTGCTGGTTGGTGGGGGTGAGTAACTACAGACTGTAAAGGACGAACCTTTGTGTTTTTTTTTTTTTTTTCCCCTCTTTTCTTTGCTGCCTACATGCTACATGTATGTATTATGTATCTAGTACTTCTTCTTCTTTTTCTTTTCTTTTTTCTTTTTTTTAAAAAAAAAATCTAGATTCACAGTGTGATTCAATTCTGAAGTTAAAAGTTTGAATCTGCTATAATTGGTAACATATCTGCCTCTTTAACTATAAAGAATGAAACAGTAGCAACAGAAATAAGAATTTTATTTCTATTTCATAGGTGTTTATTAAAGTAAACATACTAAAATAGAAAAAAAAAGTAGGAATAAAAAATAAAATTTAAATATAGTTATAGTTTTATGGAAAGAGATAGGAATTAAAAAAAATAATATTTTTTTCTTCAAAATAATCTATATATAATTTTTATTTATTATGTATCAACTATTTTTATCACTAACCCTATTTCCACCTCTAATATGATTGTTGTCATTTTTTGTAGTATTGATAAAAAAAAATTATTATTTTTCTGATTATGTTTCCATTCTTCCACCAACACCATCATCCTTTTTCTTATGATGATAGTGTGTGTGTATATAGTCCATTCTTGCTATCATCATCACCATCGTCTCTTTCTTTTTTATTATTATCATAGTTTATGAAATTATTTGTTAATTATTATTCTTTTTTGTTTTAAAAATCAAATATAAAAAAATTTTATTTTTATTTTGATCTTTTATTATTATTTGAAATATAGTTTTGGAATGAAAATATCATTTCAATTCATGTATTCTCATTTCAAACTTTTTATTTATAATAACCAAACGACACCTTATTAGGTGTAAGAAACGAAATCACGAAATAAAATTAAAAATTTTTATTTCGCTTTGCATGTGTTTGGTTGAAAGAAATGGAAATAGAATATAAATTAAGAGTTAAAATGGAATAGGAATTAAACATAGTTTATTTTTCATTGGAGTGTGGAAATAATAACAAAAAATACGAATGAGATTTTTTCCTTCAAAATAGGGTATAATATTTTTATTTATTATGCATCACTGCCTCCACCACCACTCGCTTTCATTGACGATGGTGATAAAAAATAAAAAAAATAAAAAAAATCAATTTTTTTTATCATTATTATTTTATCATCACTTATTCTCTTCTATCATAACCATTTTTATCATACACCTATCACCACCATTATTTTTTTTCAACTATCGCCTCATATCTTAGTGGTATCAATTTTTAAAAAATATATTATTACTATCATTGTACTATTATTATTACCATCACCTCCTCCTCTTTTTCTTATTTTTTTTTCTTCCACCACCTATATTGTCTCATCTATCATTTTTACTATTATTATAGTATCGGTTGAGATTAGCCTCATTTTTACAAAAGATAGACAAGAACATTGTACTATTATTATTACCATCACCTCCTCCTCTTTTTCTTATTTTTTTTTTCTTCCACCACCTATACTTGTCTCATCTATCATTTTTACTATTATTATAGTATCGGTTGAGATTAGCCTCATTTTTACAAAAGATAGACAAGAACATTCATATTTTAAAAAAATATATCTATTTTTAATTCTTTATATATATATATATAATCTTATTTGTATTTATATAAGTTACAAGAGCAATAACAATATATATTTATAATTGATATCAAAATATAATTGAAGTAAATGGAACAATTCTACAATTCTAGTCTATGAGTCTTGAAATGAGACATGTACCATAGCAAACAAAACTAATATTTTATTAAATCTTATATGTGTCGTAAAGTATCACAAAATGAAAACTTAACATTATATATATATAAGAAGTAGAAATGAGACTATTCACTTATTGTAGCTCCTCACCCAATACTCGTTATTTTACTATTTTTATTTTTTGTTTTAAGAAATAGAAAAAAATAATAATTCTTTGAGAAATAAATTAATTAGTCCTTTTGGTTTGAAAACTAATTTTTTTTTTTTTGCCTTTTTTTACCATTTTGCCATTTTTATTTTTTGTTTTAAGAAATAAAAAAATATATATATGAAAAAAGACATTTTATTTTTTTGAAGAAAATATCTCATCCAATTAAAGGTATCTTAGTATTGTATAAAGAGACCATGAAATCCTATATTGGGTGTTTTAATAATCTTTATTCGTTCTTAGGTAATTTTGTACATTAACGTGGGTGAAAAAAGAAATGAGGAAAATAAAAATAAATACGATAGAGGGAGGTAGAGATGGTTTTTGAGATAATGAATTGGAAAGAGAGAGGTGCAAATAAATTTCAATGATTCATAAAAGTGGTAACTAGAGACCTCATTTCATTTTACTTTTTAGGACCTCCATGTAGAATTAAGAAAGTGGTAAATTGGAAGATTAAAAAAATGATCTTAGAAAAAAAAAATAAGTAAAATATGAAAAAAAGACATTTTATAAAATAAAAGAATAAATTATTCGTGATCAATATTGATTAAAAAAATTAAGTAATTTATTTTTAAAACCAAAAGAATTAATTAATTCATTTCTTAAAATGAGATGAACTAATTTATAATTTAATTTGCAATTCAAAAATCTCTTTCATCATAAAATAAGAATTTATGAAAACCAATTTTATAACAGTTTTTATTTCAATTTATTGATTTTAATATATTCCATACAGACTTAGATGTTTTTTTTTAAATTGTTTTATAGTATATATATATATATATATATATATATATATATATATATATATATATATATATATATATATATTGAAAATTAATTATATATTTGCATACATAACATCAATTATTTATTATTTATTCTTTTTTATGGTATAAAATCAATATTTTTTAAATAAAATAATTGAAATGATGTTTTAGAAGAACCTTTCAATTATTCAAATATAATTTTTTATACTAATATTATTAATTATTTTGTTAATAAATATATATAAATCAAATAATTTTGCTCAACAAATAGATTTGATTTATATTAATTACAAGAAATAAGATTTTTATTGACTTTATTTATATAACGGTTATTCGACCACAAGTTAGTGCTTGTATCCAAATAGTATTAAATTTTAAGAGGTATTCTCATTAAAAATATATATATTATTTACAAGTCAAATGATATTTTCATTTAAAAAAAAATTATATGCAAGTCATATGATATTTTTGGGTGGTTGAATCGAAAAATAGATTGAAAACCAACTCAAATAATAAATATAGATTGAATCAGTTTTAAAATTTAAAAACAAATTAAAAATTAGCATATTATACAAGAATAAATGAAAGTATTAATTCTTGAATTAAGCGGGGGAGCATAATGGCCTTAGCAAAGCTTATTTACCATTTAGCAAAACCTCATGGATGGAATTACAATGCGATGTCTACTTTCTTTCTATTTATTTATTTATTGATAAAACAAATTGCTATATGTAATATTTTTAGATAAAATTCCGTAAATCAAAAATAAATCTAAATGCCCAATTCGTTTATCAAACTATGTTGAAATTTAGAAATTCATAGAAATCAAACTTTTAATAATCAAGGAAGGATCAGAACTGGAAAACTCTTGAATTGTTTCAACTTTCATTACCTTCCATTTAAAAAAGAAAAAAAATATTTCTCTTCGTTTTATTTTTTATTTTTTGTCTTATCTAAATCGTTTCCCTTCCAATTTGTTTTTGGCTACGTGTTTCATTACATCTGTTCCACGGTAAGAGGGTCCTACTCACATGCTTCTCAAACGATTTGTTTCAACGTGTGTGTTGGTTTTCGTTCTTTTGTACGGAATACATGGTAAAATTGATGTAGAGATTTCTTTTTTCTTTTCTTTTCTTTTTTTAATTGAAAGGTTTTAAAAACTTGGGGCTATATAACAATAAGAGGCAGCTTTTGCTTCTCTTATCGTTAAAAGAAAAAATAAATAAATTATCCTCTTACAAAAAGCTGGAAAAAAAATATTGTGTATACAGCCGTTCCGTTTATTTGAAATATATAATTATGAGCTGAAGCGTGATTTTGGTTTTGTTAAATTTAGAAGTAGGCTCTCTGAATTAATGACAAGGAAAGTTTGTTTTTATTAAAAGAAAGAAAGAAAAAGGAAGTCAAATGTTGTAGGTATATATATTTATATTGGTGGAAGCAGTTCTGATATGGAAATCCGAAGATCTATACCGGACCAGCTCTCTTTCAAATAAATTAATACGTTAGTTTTTTATTAAGACCAAGAAAATCCAATAAGAAGAGTCTTTTTATATTCTCAGATTTAATCTTTTTTTTTTTAAGTGTGTTTCAATTTGAGAGTGGAATCTCAATATAAATTATTGGGATAGATGTCATTGAGGATTTTTTTACAAAATCACTGAGTTTGCAAGATCGAATGATTTATGGCCCGTTCCGCCAAGGTTTGAAGCAAAAAAAAAAAAAAAAATACAAATTGAACTCATTATGAAATTCCGATAAGAGAAACATTGACGGGTGAAATTAAAAGCAAAAAACGAAATGATATCTCAGCCTGACCTCAACATCAGTCAGTGATTGAGTTTTTTTTTTTTTTTTTTTGTAAACTATCGGCAGTTCAAAAAAAAAAACAAGTGGTTTGGACGGCTCAGATTTGCTGTGACGGATAAGAGAAACACTAGAGATTAAGTCAAAATAGTGGGCGTCCACAAAGTGCCCTTGTTATTATACAAACTGATGATGATCACGATGTGGCTTCT